TCAGTCTGTGAGGACGGACCTCTGCAAGAGCATCACGTACTTGTAACTGCTGAGCCATCTCTCCAACCTCCATCAAAAAGTATTCGAAGATTTTATGTGTATGACTGTATTGCTTGCATGTATGTATGTGTGTACCACATGTGTACCTGGTGCCCTTGGGGGTCAGAAGAAGGCATTAGATTCCCTAGATTATAGACTTATAGACAGTTGGTACTGGGAACTGAACCTGGGTCTTCTGTAACCACTGTCCCTAACAGCTGAGGCCTCTCTTCAGCCCCTCCTGCATCCTTGAGATGAAATCTACTAGTCATAATTATTTCTGAATATGTAGGTGAATTCAGTTTTATATACTATTTCATGGAGAATTTTGTACTCAGACTCCAAAGCAAAACAAGGCTTTGATTTATGTGTGCTGTCCTTATTTGGTTTAGGATCAACTTAAGATGAGCCTCCTTCCTCCTTCTCCTGTGTTCTAGAGCAGATGTGTCGAAAAGGCATGTTGTTTCATAGGATGCTCAGTTCTCTATGTTACTATAACAACCACTGAGCTAATCTGCTTATAAAGAGAAAAGGTTTCCTGGCTCATGCTCTCAGAGGTTTGCTGCTTTGAGCCTGTGCTGGAACTTGAGGCAGAGCAGAGCCTCGGGCCTCATGAATGAAAGCAAGAGAGAAAGGGGAAGGGCTAGGCTTCCACTGTTGACTCTGACCAGTGACCTGAAGACCTCCCAAGAGGCCTCACCTAGCAGGCCCATCACCTCCCAAAAGTTCAGTTCCAGTGAGTGAGCCTGCAGCACATGGGCCTTTAGATGACACATGGGCTCTACACAAACATGGGCTGTACACAGACGTGGGCTGTACATAGCAGCAGTCGCAGTAAACGCAGCCTTAGGGTACCTTGGCCTTGAGGATATTTTGAGGGTGTGGAAAGAGATCTTTAATAATTGTTTATTTTTCTTTGTGTGTATATGTGTGTGTGTGTGTGTGTGTGTGTGTGTTTGCATGTACATGTGTATAGCTCCCCTCAGCAGCAGGAAAAGTGTGTCAGATCCCCTAGAGAAGGAATTACATATAGGGGACCAGACTCAGGTTTTCTTCAAGAGATTATGCACTCTCACCCTCTAAGCTATCTCTCCAGCCCTGTGTTTATTTTTCTTTTAGTATTTTTATTATTATTTGTATTATTATTACTACTACTACTATGACCACTACGACCACTACGACCACTACTACTGGTACTGGTACTGGAGATTGAACCCATGGCCTCACCCATGCTAGGCAGGTACTCTCTTACTGAGTTATACCCTCAGCTCCAGTGTTTCTAAAAGATTTTATTTTAATTATTGTGTGTTTGTATGTCTGCCTGTCTGTCTATATGGGGGTATGTCTGCATGTGTAGGTGCCCTCAGAGGCAAGAGGCATTAGACCCTAAAGCTGGGGTTATAGGGAGCTGAGCTCCCAACGTGCCTGCCTTCTCATTAGTCTTCTTTTGTATTAATTAATCAATTAATTAATTATTGTATGTGAACACACTGTAGCTGTCTTCAGACACTAGAAGAGGGCATCGAATCCTATTACAGATGGTTGTGAGCCACCATGTGGTTGCTGGGCATTGAACTCGGGACTTCTGGAAGAGCAGTCAGTGCTCTTAACCACTGAGCCATCTCTCCAGTCCTGTTAGTTTGTTTTGAGATAGGGTCTTACCAAATAACCCCAAGCAGTCTAGAACTTCCTACGTAGCTCAGACTGACCCTAAACCCTTGATCCTTCTGCCTTGGACTTGCTGCTTTGATCCTGTTACGAGATGGGGTACCTGGGGCAGAGGAAGTCTGTCTGTTCGCCTCATGAGAGCCAAGGAGCAGAGAGACTGAGAGTGGGAGAGAGTGGGGAGAGGGAACACCGACAGTCCCTCAGGTGTATATCCTAATGTCCTTACTTCCGCCCACTTCCTGAAGGTCTTAAAGAGGCTGGCAACCAAGCTACTAACTGTGCTTCTGAGGGCCTTGATGATCCAAACCACAACTGGGGAAGTGTGAAGCCTTGGACAACTTCATCTAAGCTGCACTTTGAAATCACCTGCCTGGAAGCAGGCTCACTGGGCTTACTGCCTGCTGCAGAGGGTCCGGTTTGATCTCCTGGGTGAGGGTCTGCTGTCGGAGTCTGAGGAACTCTTAAGACTCCCATTGGCAGCTGAGGTTGACTGTGTGGTGCTCCCTACTGTGGACACGGGAAGAAGGAGATGGGCATGTCTAAGGCCATTTGAGGGGATCAGTCAGGGGGTCCAGACCCTCTGAACCTTCTAGGCTGCTGTCCCAGACCTACCATACCCAACGGCTGCTGTCTGGCCATCGCTCCCCAGTCTGAGTTGTGGGAGACGGGAAATGGAAGCACAGGGTTCAGCAGCCTTCCTCCACAGTCCTGTATTTTCCCAAAACCTCTTAAGAGTTTCCACCTAAGGCCATGTAGGAAGTAACAGAACCAGAAAACAGAGTCCTGAGAAGGCTTAGATTAGGTTCTGTGGTTCATTAACCTTATGGTGTCTTTCTCCCCAGAGCTGGCTGCCAGGGAGAGTATCTGAAGCAAAGGCCAGTTACCTGTTCGAGAAGCAGCGGCGGCGGCGGCGGCAACATCACCACCACTACCACCACCACCACCACCACCACCACCACCACCACCACCATCATCACCATGCCTCAGGCCTGGCTAGCTTGGTACCATGCCAGGGCCAGGACAGCAAACCTGTCAAGGCCCATGAGGGACCTTATGGTACCACAGGCATCCATCCTTCCCTGACTTCTAACATCTGTTCACAGCTCCTGTCTGCCACGCCCAATCCATGTGATGGATGCTGCCACTTTCTAGACCCACGGCAGGGGAGAAAATAGTAAACATGGCATGGTCCCTCTTCTAGAGACACAGAACTGGATGAGAACACCTAGTTTCTGCAGTTCAGTGACATGTGGGCACTTGTGGTAGACTCTGGTGGCTTGAAGTGGAGAACCAATACCCTTGCTGCAACATGGGGCAAGGCAGGTCTTGAAGGATGATGTGTTTGCCAGGAAGAACTGTGGAAAAATGCATCCCTGGTAAAAGGAACAGACAATGCAAAGGCCAGGAGGCATCTCATAGTCTAGGAGGGGAGTTACATGAGGTTTAGCAGGACCATCAGAAGGAGTGAGTCAGATCTGAGAAGGGAAAGAGGCTTCTGAAAGACCCAGGCTTCGTCTTTAGAGTGAGAGAGATTTAGGCAGCGAGAGTAGGGGTTCCCCCTGGGAAGATGAACAGAACAGAGGTTGAGGTAACTCATCTCTGCTGAGGAGAGGTTCTAAGGGATGTTTCAGCTCAGGGGAGGAATGTTGGGCCAGCCAGTGCTGGAGCTTTAGATTAAGGGTTGTTCTACAGCCAATCTTCCAGGCCCTGAGACTCTGGATTTGGGATGAGAATGGGGCTTCAGCCATTCCTGAACTGAGACTGTAATCTCAGAGGTCATGTTAGCGTTCACTTGCTATGATCACACACCTGAGGTCATCAACTTTAACAAGTGAAATTTGCTTATTCTGAGGATTCAGATTATGGTATTATAATCTTTCAGCTCTGTTGCTTTGGGTTGGGGTGATGCAGATTATCGAGGCAGAAGGGGTGACTGAGGAGAGCTGCTCAGGCCATAGTGACCAGGGAGGAAGGAGAAGGTGGAGGCAGGATACAGCACCAAGGGCAGGCTCAAGGACCGATTTCCTTCAAGTAGGCCCTTCCTTTTCTATCACCTCTCCACAGTTCATTAGATGATAAATGTGTCAGGGATTAGGCCCTTGTGAGCCCCTCACTTCCGGAGAGGCTGTGAATTGACAACTAAGATGGTCACTTTGCTTTTGGAAGACATTTGAAATCCAAATCATAACCATGCCCACATGCTTGTGGGTGTTATGGTAGCTGGTGTGGGAGACTGGGAGGCTGTCTGAGGAGTGAGGGTTGGCAGCGGCATCTACTTGGGTCCATGAAACTGCTCCTGGCCTAGCCACCTCACCATCTTTGGCCTAGGTTGGAGGGCATGGGGACAGGTTTGAACCAGTCATCAGGGCTCATTCTGTCTTTCCCATATGGTGGTTAAGGCCTCTGCCTCCCACAACTCAGGTACTAAGCTTGTATTTACTTCTCAGTGTCTCAGATGCAGGCCATAGGAGCTTTGCATTCTGCACAGGCCACAGAGAAGGGCCTCCATGTCACTCAGCTATGTGCTCAACATGCTTGCCCTCATGCCATCTTCCTCCCAAGGGGGCTCTGCAGGAAGGGAACTCTTCATTCTGCCATTGCTGAAGTAACCCACATAGTCAGAACCAGAATCCAGACCTGGCTCTCCTTAAAGATGTGGGGGAAGGACTTTCTGTGTGGGGGAAAGGTTCATAGATAGAAGGCTGGGTTTGGATAGTGGAACATACAGGTCTGAGGTGCCCCTAAGTTCCAGAGAATCAAAGACTACCATCCCAGCTCTCTTCCCCACCCCCGCTGACTGGGGAATGCTAAGCTGCAGGCAGCCAGTCCGGCTGTGAGACGGACCCAGAGATGCAGAAGTCATAGCCAGAAGGTGAGGGGCACTGTGATAATGAAACTGCAGGCCCCTCACAGGGAGCCCCCATGTGTGTGGGACCCGCAGCCTTCTCTGCAGGTTTACAGTGGCATCCTGTGGCAGGTGAGCAGTCAAACAGGCCCAAAGCCAGGGAGCTTTGTCCTGAGGCCCAGAGGCAGGACAGCGGCAGGAGATGGAAGAGCCTCTGCATTCTCCTCAGGCCTTGCTGGGATTTCTCTCAGGAACTTCCGAGGGCCAGAGATGTCAGCAGTCCTGAAGCCCTCAAGTCTCCTGCCAGCTCCTTCTGAAAGGCTAGGGTAGTGGCTGCCTGGCGCCCAGGAGCCCTAGAAAGCAGGAGGACAGTTTGCAGCAGGGCAGAGGGCCTCCTCTGAGGGACACTGACCTCTGGTGGCTTTAAAAATAACAGCAAACTGGGGAACCGAGGTTAAAACAAACATTTATTTAACAAATTATATTAAGATACAGTCACACAGTGAGACCTCCCTCTGCCAAGCAGTCACCTTGAATAAATACACAGGAAGGCAGCTGTGCCTAAGGTCCTTGTCCCAGCGCCACATGGTGGCCCAGTGGCTCACAAGCCTTTGAAGGGGAACAAAGCCTGGTCTCCTGTTGCAGATGGCCACAGTTGCTCAAGGCTCTTGCCCAGAGCGGGTGGAGAAGGCTGGGCTGCCCTGATGTGCCGGGCACCTGAGAGGGAGCCTGGTACAGGGATGGAGCCCAGCCTCTTCATCAGACTCTTGGGCTCAGTTGGACACAAACCAATTCTGTGAGTTCAGCCCTTTATGGCCTGGCGGCACACTGAGGCCCTTTTCTACCTCCCTGGCCATGAGTCCACAAATGTGGAAGGATGCTACAAGGCTGGGGAACCCTCAGGTGTGGGGAGCACACAGGTCAATCAGACTCTCAGCCTGACCCATGACTGGAACCCACTGCCATGGTGTGATGACATCTCCAGGGCAAAAGAAAGCCTACAGGGATGGACACAAAGGCCAGGTGGTTGGCCCAGGGGCTTTGGGATCAGATTCTGTCTGCCACTGGCAAGCTTAGAGACATGCCTCAGGCTCTTCATGTGACAGGGCAAAGAGCACCCACTCTTGGCTTGTTTGGGGGATGACAGGAAATGTGCTTAAGACTGCCAAGCCAAGTGGAAGGGAGGGGTGTGTGTGCTTAGTACCTCAGTCTCCTTGCTGGATGTCCTTCTGACAGAGGGGCTTCAGCATGACCTTGGCCACAGGTGGCCACATGCTGCTGACCACCAGGAAGTAGTCATGCCATGGCTCTCATCTGTCCCCCGAGGAGAGTGGGCTCTCAATGCCCCACATGGCAGAATTAGGCTGACATAAATTCTTAGATTTGGTCTTATGATAAATTTGTAAGTGAGCCAGGAGCCCCCCCCCCCACTTGTCACCCATGTGCCATTTCCAAGGCCTTTAGGAAGAAACCAACTTTTCAGAGTGTGATGGTGGGGAGAGGGACCTGTGCTCTGGTCAGCCATTTCAAGAGAGATGTGTGTGCTCGGCAGGGACAGCAGCAGTCGTGGGACATGCTGGGAGGGGAGGGGAGACCCACGGGAGAGGCTATGGCTCTTCATGTCTCCCAGCAAGTCCTTGTGCTCATCTGACAGTGTGCCTGTCACACGGTACCCAAAGGCCACTCAGTGCTGCTGTGAGCCACAGCCCTACCTCCCAGGTCTGGGTCTGCTGGGTCCACACAAGGTGGACATGGGTATGCACACACGACCATTACCATCACCAGAAGACAAGAAACCAGGGGTTGGGTGCAACCTAGAACCTACCACAGACACCAAGTCGTCCTCAACACTTCAAAAGCTAGAAGCTGTTGGTGCTACAACATTCTCAGTCAGGGTTCTTCAACTAAGTCCAGCATCGGGAGGGCTCCAGCTCAGTGCATGTGCCCCGCCCTCCTGCCAGTGGCCGGGTCCTGTGGGAGAGCACGCATGGGCTGCAGAGCTCTCCTTTCTCCAGGAGCCGCCTTACTTGGCCGTCTGGATTACTAACGAGGGTCCACAGTCTTCAGTTTTGAACTTCTAGGACCCGAAAGAGCTACAGAGAAGCCACATTCCCCTCTGAGAGGAGAGGAGGGCCTTCTGCATCACGTGGCAGGTGATTTCATAACTGGGGAATGGACGAGGTGGTCAGACAGTGTACAAACTTAAACCAAGTCCAGAGCTTTGTGCCCAACCCTCCCAGTTAACTCAGATGGATGGCTTCCCCCTCTGTTGGGCCTCAGGTCACACAAGCCACTTGATGCTGCACCAGCAGCAGCAGCAGCTGCCGCCGCTACAGGTCCTTGGGATCCCCAGGTTGTGGAGCCATCTGGGGTCAGTTCATTAGCTCCTTTGAGCACCAGCGTGGCACTAGGTTTTGCTAGAGGTGCCTATGTTGAACCCATGGGCCTCTGGGGCATCAATTTCCATGACCTGTGCTAACAGGAGGCTGTGGGGCTCAGAGGCAAGGGGTTGATGGGTACCCCATAGAGTGTGCTCACATCTGAGGGAGGAGGCGAAGTGACCCTTCCTGACACATAGAAATGAAGTACCATCAAGCAGAGAGGCTGGCTGACTGGGGAGGAAGGGGAGTCCACAAAGGGCCCGAGGGTCTGGCACAGAGGAGGGCTGTTGTAGGTTGGTGAGGTATTTTTGGCCCTGCCCCGGCTCATGCCATCTTGTTGGCTTGTTCTTGCTCCTCATTCTTTTGCACCGTGGGCGCCCAGCTACCTGTGGCTGTCTCTAGAGCTGTAACTGGAGAGGTTTGTACCATGGCCGCCGACCACTGTGCAGATCTTCACATCCACAGGTGCTCTGGGGACCAACGTCAAGCCCTAAAAGCCAACTGTGGCAAAGCAGTGCATCACAGTGAGGCTGAGAGCTGGGACCTCGGTGACCTCTGTTTTCATGGCAACACATGTGGGGTTCAACTTGGCACCTCGGGTTGACACCTGTGAAATGTCATGGCCCAAATTCTGAGGCCTGGGACAGAAGAACTTTTTAAAACAGCAGCTCCCCTGTGGAAGGTGCCTTCTAGACAGTGGGGTGGGCCGGGCTGTGAGGAGTTAGCGCCTTTGTACCATTCTTCTCAGAGCATTCGCTGTGTCAGTTGCCACCGAGTCAGGGCACCAGGCAGGGCATATGGAGCGGTTGTCGGCATGTGGAGGCTCCACAGATGAGCCCTTTGTGGGGATTGGCACCTGTGGCTGGGCACAGTACCTTAGCAGCCAAGTTTCCATCCAGGTAGGCATCCAGGTAGGCACCCAGTCACCTCCCGTCTGTGCTCTCTGGACGTCCAGTGTGTGGAGTGGGGTAAGAGTCCACGGTTGTCTCCAGTGCATCTTAGGCCTGCGTTCTCAGTGCTGTCATGAAACGCATGGGCCACTGGAGCCTGCTGACCAGGGTTGCTTGTTCCCAGGTGGCTGGGTCAGAGGCCATCAGTGCATCTTGCAGGGTTCTAAGGGAAGCAGTCAACCCTGGAGTCTCCCAGGAGGGAGCTAGTGGCTTTGTGGGATTTCTGTGGTAGGTGATGGTCAGTTGAAGGGGAGCCAGTGGGTGTCGCTGGGTGTCTGGAGTATGTGCCCAGGCCCTCATGGGTGGGTGACTCCAGGTAAGGAAGGAGTTTTTTTTTCTTGTTGGGTAAGTGGTCATCACACAGGAGCCTCTGGTCACTAACAGCACATACATTAGTCACAATTATAAACAATGTTCCTGGGGAGGCAGAGAAGTCTTGTCAGGCGAGCTGATGACCATATATGACCAAGCAGCTGCCCAGAGTCTCTTGGTCAGTGAGCAGGGCAAGCAGAACGGGCAGGTGAGGGAGGAAGTGACGCTTGCCCCAGCCACCCCATCAGTAGTCTGGGCATTGGGTAGGAGATGTCTTCTCTCCCAGGAGGCTATAGGCTCCTCAGGACTGGGGGATCTGCTGGCACCGGGTAGGGCTGGGTGGGAGCCGAGCTGCTGCGCTCTGCTCGGTGCGGAAACTGTATTCGTACTGCAAGAGAAGGAAAGAGGCAGAGTCAGGCCACAGGACCCCAGAGAAGGCTGAGCAGAGGGGAAGCTCCTGTTGAGCCTTAGGCAGAGTGACTGCAGGACAGGCATCCAGGCTGAGAACTGGGGCTTGGATAGCATTTCACTCTGTGTGAAAGTGTGTGTGTGTGTGTGTGTGTGTGTGTGTGTGTGTGTGTGAGAGAGAGAGAGAGAGAGAGAGAGAGAGAGAGAGAGAGAGAGAAGGGGGGCTCAGAAAGTGACAATGGGTAGGTATCTTTCACAATCCTTGCCTGTCTCTGCATGGTGAGACTTTGGCACCAGCAGTGTCCACTACCAGTGCCAATGGCAAGCTCACATGAGAACCTTGTGCCATGCTGAGAGGCAAGTCCCTTCCTGCTCCAGTTGTAGCTAAAGGAGGGACCACTCCAAGGCTCTTGGAGACAACCTGAGAATGGACTCCATGCCTGACCAGAAGCCTCTCTCAACCCTCAGGTCCTGGGACTCCTTGCTGTGCACCATCCATGACGGCCACCCCAGTGACCCGAGGGCCAAGGGAAAGGCTTCTGGGCTGCTCTCGCAACTGGACACCCTCTGTAACGTTTTCTCACTGCACCAGAGCTTTCCTGATGGGGACTCTCACAGCTACACAGACAGGCCAAGGAGCAACTGGTGGTGGTGGGAGTGCCAGCGTGTGTGAGCCTGCCTTTTGCTGGCCATCCTGAGTCAAGAGCCAGTCTATGGAGGATTATTAACTCTTGTACTGGAAGACTCTAATTCTATAGAGTAAATTCTGGCAGTAAAAGACTCCACATCCAGTGTAAACTCTGAGAAGATGCAAGTACCCTGGGTGGGAGAGGGGCCATGCTGTTCACTCGAGGGCTGGAGTATCTGACACCCATATGTGGGCACAGGGAGGTGCAAGACACGGTTCCTTATCCTGGCAGAGGTGAAGAGGGGTTGTGGGATAGCCTGGGGTGCCCCATTAGCCGAGAGGCATTTATGTTAGTGGATGTCAAACACGTTCAATAGATCAGAACTGGTGAGAGGTGGAGCCTGGAAATGCTTCCCAGCAGAGAGGAGGTCCATGAACTGCTGTCTGTGAGCTCACTCTGTGAGCACACCCACATAATACTCAGCCTGTGGAGGAGTGTGTGGCCAAACTGTAGCAGGAGAAGCTGCAGACCCCAGTCAGGCTGTGTGGCCCCGCCAGCCTCACCACACCCCCAAAGGGAGCTGCCCTGAGAAAAAGGAGTAGCTGAGGTCATGACCAAGGAGCCACTAAAGATAGCACCCATGTGACCTGTGAATCCTGTCTTCCTGTTCTGGATCTTGGTGGACTCATTTCTAAGGTGGGGTGTGGCCAGCCAATTCCAGAGGTGGCACAGACCCATCCTTGGTGGCAAGCAGTTTCTACTAAACAGCTAGTGGCTATGAGGGGAGCCAATCAGAGCGCCCACAACTCCTCCTGACACTCTCCTACCCTCTAGTGACCCTTGAAGGCACAGGACGACATCCCATCAGGCAAACACCATTTTATCAGGCTATACCCAAGACGCTTCAGGCAATGGTCGGCACAACACTGCCACCTGGTGGCTGCTTATGTGTGTGCATGTCAGTGACTAGTAACGCATTAGATCCTCTGTTGGCTTTATCTTTCTCTGCTGGGGGTGATGGAGTGGTGGTGGGAGAAGGAGTGTTTGGAGGATGGGGGTCATGTTGGGAAGACTGAAAAGTCACAAGTCCTGTGGGCTCATAGGATGGTGTCATAGGGGCCCAGGACTAACTACCACCTCCTAGGGTGATTGTAGAAGGCATAGTGCCCAAGCTAGGGCACTTCTTGGAACAGGAGCCTTTCCCAGGGAAGAGCAAAACCATGGAAGGGCAGAGGTGCAGGGATTAATGGTAGAGGCTTGAGGGTGGAGAGCCTAGGGGCTGTTCCCAACAGTACAAAGGCCTGGAACATCAGGACAGCAGTTCAGACAGAGGAGGCACAGGCTGGGGAGAGGACAGGGATGTAGTTTTGCTAGTGGCTGGGAGAGAGTCCCCAGGAGTGTCCAGAGGGGGAGAGAGAGAGAGAGAGAGAGACAGAGAGAGAGAGAGAGAGAGAGAGAGAGAGAGAGAGAGAGAGAGTGAGAGAGTGAGAGTGTTAGAGTTAAGAGGTAGCTGGACCAGTGACAACAACATGTAGTCAAAAGACAAAGAGGATGGGGGCCCTGGGGCAGCATAAGAGGTGTCACCCTGGGGTGAGATACAATAGATCCTGACTTGGAACCTGCCAGCCCTAGGCTAGCAAGGATGCAATTTTGAGTGGTGGTCATGGGGTCTGGGATGGGTCTGATATATGCATTTTCTAGTGGCTTCTAGGTGACTGGATATTGGGGTCAGTTCTGAGAGCCAGCCTGACCAATCATGTGACCAGCATGACCATGGAGTGATGTGGGAAGGGTAGGAATGGGAGGGCAGAGGCTAGACCATGGTGGTCAGGTAGGTGAGGAGGAACTAGGGACGGGGAGGGTAGATTACCCCACTTTGAAAGCCAAGGGTGAGGTGCAGATGAGGGAAGGGGAAGGCCCATGTAGTGTCAGCAGTCAGGGCTGGAGACGCTGTCTGAGCTGTCTTGCCATTTCAGAAGCATGCCATGCTGGTGCTGTGCCCAGCTCCCAGGGCAGAAGGCCACTATTTCAGAAGTATGCTCTACTGTGGGCTCCCAGGGTGGGAGGAGACCCACGGGACAGTGGGACTGTCTTCATTTATTGCTGTCTGGTTGGCCTGGCCCCAGAATATCCTAGCCTGAGATTGGTGTTGGGCACATGGGAGCTGCAGCTTTCTGGGTAGTGGGTGGAGGAGTACTGGCTGACCAGGCAGTGGGCCTCCATGCCTGTGGTGGCTGGGAATAGGAGCAGGTCTCTGGGAGGGGCAAGGACCTGCCTTCCAGTTCATCCTCTGAATGCTCCTTTCTTTTGCACTCTGGCTTGGGGTAGAGAAGGAATTGCAAGCTCACACTTGCTTTTCCCCGAACTGCAGCACAAGCATACGGAGACCCTGGGGGCTGGCACAGCACACAGATCCCTCGGCCCCCGCCCTTTCCCTGGAGTTTTTTCCTTTTTAGGTTATCTTGGCTGGAAAAAGTTACCACCCCCACTCTTGTTTTCCCTAATTCCCCAAATGAAATTTCAACATATGTCCCCCGACATAATCCCCCTTAGGCCGTGGATAACCTTCCCACAGACGATGCCCTCCACCGGGGATTCTTCGTCCCCAAAATGTTTGCCCAAGAGACTAGGGCTGCTTCTGGAAGCCCTTTCACTCCCTTGGGCAAACAGAGAGTACCTTTGAAGGTGGATTTGAGCCCGGGTCTGTTTACTCAAGACATTAGTCTCCTGCATAAGAAAAACCTGCACTTGAGTACAAACAGCAAATCCTTTTTGAATTAAAAATATTTTCAATTAAAAAGCATTTGGTGTGCAGAGCCCAGTCCGGCTGAGCAGTGAAGGGCAGGGTGCCCTCTGGTGGACACAGCCTGTTATTGCAACTGTACAGCTGGCCTGGCTTAGAAAAGAGATATCACTGTCAGAGGCTCTGTAGGGGACTTTCCCAGAGGCCCCAGGACCTTGTAATGGACAGCTTCAGGGCTCTCGGGCAGACAGGTCAGACAGTGGGTCACAATTTCCACAAGCCCGTGCTCACCACAAGACCAGCATTGTGTTAGTAGGAGGTAGCAGCATCATAGAGGGTAGGTCACTGCAGTCTCACAGGGGAGCTGTGGGAGTCACTGGGGTGATCTGTGCCAACACACCCAGCAGTGCTTGTGACCAAGAGGCAGAGATGGGGGAAGCAGTGGCATTTATGAAAGGTCCTGAGTCCTTTTAATGGTCGGCAAGGTGAGGCACGCTTGAGATAGAAGTGCTTGCTACCTACCAAGGGGGCGGTGGGGGGAGGGGTGGGGATGGGGATGGTAAGCTCAGGCCCTCCTCCTCTCCTGATCCAGTGCCAGCCCTATCCACCTGGGAACAAGGCAGGCAGGAACACTACACTCTACAGACAGGAAGCAGGCCGGGGGAAGGGTCCAGCATCCTGAGACTCCAGAGTGAGCCAGGACAGTGCTGGCCCTGGCCCAGAGGGGCACCTGGAGCAAGTGCTGAGCTGGACAGGTGTCCATGCCCCCCTTGATGGGCTGCAGGTGGGACATGGGGCCAGGTGACAACCAGAGCAAAAGCAGGTAGTGTGGCACCAGATCACAGAAGGTCCTGGGAGAGTGTGGACCAGTCTGAGGGCCCCAGGTAAGGCCATAAATATAGGGAACTACAGGGCCAGAGCAAATACAGAGATGCTTCAGGGGTGGAGAACAATGGAAAGAAGGCTGGGCTGTCACAGATGGCCTAACACCAGGTCAGAGGGAACAGAAGAGGCTAGACCAGGCAGCCCAGGATAGCTATGAATTCAGTCTAGAACAAAAAACAAAAACAAAAAACAAAACAAAACAACAACAAAAAAAATCCCAACAATTTATTAAAACATCATGGATAGTTCACTTACTACTATTTTTTAAAGACAAGGTTTCTCCATGTAGCCCTGGCTAGCCTGGAATTTACTATATAGACCAGAATGGCTCATATTCACAGAGATCTGCCTGCTTTTGAAGTGCTGGTGTTAATGGCATGCACGACCATCTCTAGATCAAGTTTTTAAATTTTTTTGGAACTCAATCATACTGTTCTTGAGGATGAGCTTTGTAAATGACTGTGTGGCTCAGAGAAGTTGCAAGGCTGGCCACAGTCGCCCACCTGCCTGCTCTTCAGGCCTCCCCTGGGCTATCCCATCATCCCCCACCTCCGAGGCACTGCCATAGCCTGAACTCAAACCCATATCCCATTTGTAAATAAATTCTTAGATGTCAGCCCTTCCTCCTGCACAGCTTGACCTCCAGTGAGCCTCCGTTCTGCAAGGTGCCCTTTCCCTCATGGGCTCCTGTTCTCCAAGGTGTGTCTTATATCTGGGGTTCAA